CAAGGTTATAATGAACCCAAGATGGTAATGCTAAAAACCGAACTTGCTATCGTGACAACAAGACAAATGGTGAAAACTGTAACTATAACCACTTAAATGCTTAGCGTTTAACGTAAGTATGTATATTATACACTTGTGTAAACACGAAAATAGAAGAAGCCGCTGGGCTGTTGCTAATTATGTGTAAATGCACCATTATCTTGTGATTAAAGATAGAGAAAACAACAAAAAGAGCCTTATGGCTAGATTCTAACTCAATACAATAGACAATCTATAGACAGAAATAGGCAATGAAAATTGAATATCTCCAGACACTGTAGACTTGATTTGCTGCGTCCAGAATTCTCGCGGGAGACAACGTTGCAATGGTGGCGACATATTGTGTTCCTCGACTAGCTGATTGGAAAAGCACTTGAATCCAAACACGGGTACTGCATCCAAATGTCCTTAGAGGCAGCGATTAGGATAAAGTGGTAACAGGAGCATTCGAATGGAGTGTAGTTGGTATAGAGTTACCAAACGCCTTGCGATCAACTCATTCATACGCCCTTTTTCTGAGCTGTCACCTGTTCACAGGTGAAAACCAACGGTAAGGGCTCCCATTTTGCATTTTTTTGACCGATTTCTCCGCTTTTTCACCATTGAATGAAATTGCTGTTTAGGAACTAAAAAAAGGAAAGAAACTCTAGCTCTTGTCGCTTTTTTTCTGTGGATGAAGCTTTACGAAGGGGTTATGAAGCGGTTCACTTGGATTCACTTAATAATTTTATGGCGTTAGTTTTCTACAATACTACAATTAGGTTGGTAACTTTGAAATGTCGTTTTTGATCAAAGATTATCTTAAGTATAAAAGCTATACCAAAGCTTATTTCGTTTATGTGTATCATCCACTCTCCACCTTTTCCTATGCAAGGCAAGGAGGTCTACCTCGTAGAACTCTTCCAGGTACGACTCGAAGAAGTTAGGTACTCAAATTATGAGGTCGTCGCGGTTATCAAATTTGGTTTGCTGCTAAGGAGTATTGCGCTGACCTGAGTCAGTGATAGTTGGAGGGTGCCAGGTCTGAGCTATATGGCGCGAGAGGGAGAGCGTCCCAGCCCAACTCCTCGATTTCTTGTTTGCAAAATTTTCGCGACATATGTCTTGGCTATTATCGTGCCAAAATTTTTCAATGACCGAATTTGCCCTTTGACTACGTAGAGCCCGATCCTCGCCTGCGGGGTGTTGTGCGCAGGGTTTAGCTGTAACCATATGACGCACAATCAGCTCTCCATAGTAAGCCATTCTTATACTGCTTCACACCACACTGTAGCAAGACTTTTTCTCTGTGGCTGTCCGGTTTCGGAGAGGCCCTCCAGCGCCATCTTGCTTCTTCTTCACTTGTTATCGGAATCATCCGCTGTAATAGAGTATAATCGTGATCGCCTTCAGTCAAAGCCTAGGACCTTCTCTTCTTTGGTGTTATTGCATGAGTTTCTAGTATTGCAACCAATTACTGGCTTGCTCTGGTCGCTTCAGAAATATGGCGAATAGGTCTCTTCTCCTTCCTGGAAGGCCTCTAACAGTCGCACGTAGGAACTTTCAAATTTTTTTGTTGACACAACTGAATCTCCATGCAAGTTTTGTGCGGTATGTCGAGGACTCAATTCGTTGGCCTTCTTTATTTCTCCTTCATCTGGAGCTAGAGGTCAGAATCCACGACCATCGTCATCAGCTCCTTTACCTCAGTCTTAGAAGAGCTGAAACCATGGCTGAAAGTGCACCAGAAACTGAGTGTTGCTGCTCAATGTTTTGCACGTAATGAGTGGGGGATTCGTTGGCTGTTTTTCTTTGCTTGAGTATACACGCTCAGGCGATGTTTTCTGATCAATCATGTTCGAGCAAAAGTTTTGGCTCAAAGAACATCCGCTCGCTGACGGCTAAGGTTTCGCAATATGCGCACTGAATTGCTCTATCGAATGGATGCTCTCCCATATTACGAGGTTGAGTTTCAGCTGAGAAACAAAGCCACTAAAGGAAGCGACATTTCAAAGTTACCAACCTAATAATATCTGTTGTTTTCTCTGATTGGAGTACGTGCTGCTTTCCTGTTGTTCAGCTAAGATTTTGACGTGTTTTTTGTTTTCTTTTTCTCTGCTCATGTCACATCTTTTAGTGCGCCAATATAAAGGGAGATCGCGTATTTTCACTCGGGTGTCGTTCATAGAAAATGACTTTTTCGCGTGTTGCATCGTGTTTTTCGCTCCAGGAATTACAGGTCCACCCATGATCATCCGTTAACCTGCTGCAGAGAAAAATGTTCCGCGCTGTGAAACGCGAAAAAGTCGCTTTCTATCCCGGAGTGAAGCACACGCTCTGACAGCAGCCTAACGGAAGTTGGTATATGAACTGCGAGCGGCATGGTGACAATTCCGACATCGTTCTAAGCGGTTCACTGTGCGGAAACGTCGTCGAACTGCTTCCAAAACAGCTTTATTTCGCATCATTCAAAGTACCTCCTCACAAAGCTGATCCACATGTTCGCTATATCGATCTGGACAACCGTGTTAGTTTTCCTTTGATTTGTGACAGATGTAGGCAAGTAGAATGGTAATGCTAATTAGAAAAAATAGTTTTTTTTTGTTAAGTCGAAACTACATATGAGGACAGGTGCATTATGAGCTCTTCTATGGCGATTTCGGTCCCCTCAACCTTTCCGTTCTATACAGGTTTACGCGATATCTTCACGGTCTTGTCGAGGTAGTTTTCGTTTAATTTTCGTTTCCTATTTCCTTGATGTTTTTCTGAACCTTACTGTTACCATCTGTATTGGACTGTTACGAAGTCAAACAGGTTGAAGGGTTGTGTTACGCTTAAGAAGGAATATGCCGATTAAGTTGGTCTTCATAACCTTTTGCGAATCATGTAGAGGATTCACTTACTCGAAGGATAGATCATAGTTTTTCACGCTGATATGATGTAGATTTAGAGTGAATATGAAAATTGAAATTCCTCTTGCATTTTAAAGGTTTCATCTCTTGTAAGAAATTGCGTTGATCATGGAAAGTTTCATTTAGTCAATGTGCTGTTTCTACCACGATCCTCAGTTTTTGGATTTGTTTGATAGTTCTCGAAAAAAACCAAACCAATATCTCAGATTGATATTGGTTTCATCAAATACAGTTTTTTACTTTCGAGTTTCAAGCTGAGATTCAGCCTTTTTCTTGGAGCGCGCTGGTTTTTAGTATTTCGCTTCCGCCCTCAGGGCATGAATTACACTTTCTTTGATATGTATTCCTGATGGTCGACCTACTAAATTTTTTGAATTTTAGGCCTCAACGCAAACGAAAAATCGTGGTCTACACTGATGACGATGATCGAAACCGTGTCAATGGAGCCTATATTATGGGATCGTACATGGTTAGTTTCAGTTTTGCGTCAACAAAGTAGCAGATCAGAACTTGTTTCTGTTTATCAAGCTTGTTATTCAATAGCTGAATTCAGTAGCAAACGCCAAGGATGTTCTCTCTACGGTTTTGGAGGATGAGAAGCAGCTCTCGTCACGAAGCACTTGTAAAACTAACCCAACGGCCCTCTTTAGGGCCACAATTGAAACGTGAACGAATACAAACACATTGAAGTATTTGCTTGAATAAATGTTTTCTACTGTTGTATTAGTTTGTGTTGGATGAAGAGTGATCTTCCAGGGATGTGCATGTCAGTTGGGGGATTCTGTTTTGTCTTGAATGCCGATTTGCGGACGGTGTGTAGGTGAATGGTTTGAAGAAAGGAAATATTGAGTTTATAGTCGCTTTAATACTCTATTGTGTGGCTTGCTAATTCAGTGTGTCCAGCGTACTCAGGTCCATGAATTCGATTTGAACTGTTTTCACACTGCGAGGCAATCAGGAAAAATGGATCATGGTTCTGCATTGCTCGCATGAGCCCCTGCAAGCATGCAAAAAACCATTTTGAAAAGCGCTACATGTCCTGAAGGATCTCTTTCTTAAGCTCTTTGTGATGACATCCCTCCCCTTTATGCTCAGTGATCAATTCTGCTGTTCGGGTCCCACCGAAATTCCTCACCGAATCAGCTAAACGATTCTCGAGCGGAGTTGTAAGGTCAAACACAGCCAGCGGAAGTGACTCTGACTTCCAACCCAAAACGTGTTAGAATGCTTAGCCATGTCTACGAAAAAGAATCCTCCTCTTACTTATTTGATTACATCATTACAAGATTGCATTCACTTACTAACGCTTGGCGTTGCCCATGGGAGGTCAGCTCCAAATTGCAGGCTGATGGATAACACCAAGGGTGCCCCACTTCTTTGAAGTTCTAGATCCGGGTAAAAAGCAGAAACCATATAGAATCCCGTGTCGCAATCCTGCTCCATAAACCATTGGGCACCATCGGAGAAGAGAGGCGCATCACCTAGGGGAAGGATAGCGTACGCCTAGAAGATTTATTAATACGCGAAAGCGAGCTGAAATTGGTAAATTTCAAAGCACGGGGACTTGATCTGGAAGGAATTTTCAAGAAGAAAATCAAGCAGCGCCCTCGGGGCAGGGTATGTCTGGAATGCGAATTGTAGAAATATCAGAGCTGTCAAGACCACGCGCGTGGTCGAGGCAGGGGTGGGTGCCTACGCTGGGCCTGGGTGCTTCTGAACCAATGCTAATGGACATGGCGAACTGACGGCCTTTTTTTGTCAGCAGCCAGGTCCCCACGCTGGGCCCCCGCCAGCAGCCAGGTCCCAAAGCTGTGCCCAGCCAGCGGCTGGGTGCCCACGCTGGGCCTGGGTGCTTCTAAACTAGTGCGATATTATTACTACAAAAGCAATTATTTTCTCGATATTAGTTATTTTCTTGAAAATATATTTCTGGTAAAGCCACATGGAAGCAGTAAGCAAGCGAAGCCGCTCACGAATTCTCGTCGGTTACAGGGGCAGATCCCATTCCATTTCGACGCGATTTGCGCTTCCAGTCGTCTGCTGTGAAGGCTTGTCAGGAGGCTTCTGAAAACAAACGTGCAAGTTGGTGCCTCTGAAAACACCTCTTTGGTGGAAAACAGTCACTTATGAACAAGAAAAATAGTCACTTATGAACAAGACCGCTCTCTCTGAAGTTTGTGAAATCAGCTTACCAGCGCGCCTTCAAACGACAAACCACCTGATTTAGGAAGACCATAAAATGTTGCATCAAAGACTGAGCTTTAGAAATCTGATTAAAATGCTCCTCCTCTTTTCATCCGCTAAGAGGGCCCCTATTACCCCATCCTCTCGACCTGTTTAAGTATCTGATTAAAATGCTGCTGGGTTGGTGCCGCCCGTAGGAGACACTCTAAAGGGCGACAGTTGCGCGAAATACAAAACACCATTTTCGTCTTCAATGGCTATGGCGTAACCTACATTTTGCAGTTTCACACAACAAATTAAGATTAAAGCCTGGAAGGGGGTTGAAAGGAGATCAGTGCGAAAGCAAAGGGGAAGCTTAATGTGTGAGAACAGAAGGTGTACGAAGGTGATGAACGTCATAGCACCAAAGCCTCAGCTGGAAAGATGACTATTTTGCGGTTCTCTGGGATCCATGAATGCTCGTTCCTCAGGAAAAGGTAATTAGAAAAGGGTAAAAAAAGGCGTGTGGGACAAATTGGAAAGCCAAAAATCCCTTAGCTGTGATGAAGATTAGCTTTTAAGAGGATTCCAGGGATAAAATGTGGAGGGGAACTAACCAACAGAAAGGGGCCTTCCAAAAGCTGGAGGATTCCGATGAGAACCCGTCGACACCACGGGATCTTTCGTAAGCAAATCCGGAAACGAAATTAGTATTTACATTTTGCCGTTCTCGGAATGGCGAGCATGGAACAAGCGCCCCAGGATTTTATGAGCTCTCTGTGATATAATCAGAAATGTTCCATTCGTCCGAATCTACGAATCACAAAATCTACAAAATCTAGAAGCAAATTCACAAAATCTAGAAGCTGCATTTGCTTCTAGATTCAAGGATCTATGTATCCGACCAAAGCTAACTCTAGTTTGCAGACTATCGCATAAACATCAAATTTGATGACCCAGATTCTGTAGGTCTGGCTTCAGACTCCCCTTGGCGAGGATACGATTGGTGCACCGGCTGCAATACCAGATACAATCGTTGAGGGAAATGTAGTTTGCAAAGGCCTTTCTGAGAAGATGGGGGTTCCCTAGCTGCAGAAGAAGTTGGAGCCGTTGAACTGGGAACCGCGCTGAGATGTAATTTTTTAATTAGGCCCAAGTATGGGATAGCTCCCGTCCCAAATTTGGCGTGTCCGAGAAAATTCATCAGAAAAGACTCAGACCCTAGCTGTCGTGCGGATCAGTGGAGTAGTACGCATCGGCGAATCCGACGAGACACGGCAAAACGTGGGATTCCGGTGGGTGCCCACAACACCTCTGAAGGGAAGATGCGTGCAACGAAGAATGCTTGATGACCGAAGTCCTTGATGCCTGCAGCGGGTTGACAAGAGGCCTTGCTTCCCTGTGCCCAAAGGGCATAAGCGTGCTGGCGCGTGCTGATTGCCTAGTAGTGCGAAGGATGTCGATCTGCCAAGTGAACAAGAAGAGGATCCAAGATGACACGATGGATCGACTAGGCGAAGATTGATGGCGGCGTGTGCGCGGCGTATACTGTGTTAGAGTTAACTGTTATAGGCTATATATTACGCTTCTTCATATCGCCTGAATAAACATTACACAAATAGTATAGATAAACACATACTAGAAAGAGTTCACGAAAAGCATCTGTATCTTGTAAATCCTATTGCAAGAATAGAAGAGAAGAATACTACGATTGATGGAGGACTA